TGCCTTAAAAATGTTAATTTTTAATTGATTATCTTAACATTTTTAAGGCATGTTTCTCATAGCAAGAATCAACTGTTCTAAATCCAAGTTGGGTTAGTCTTCATCATTTAGTGTAATACTTGTTATCTGATAGATAAAATTCCTTAACAAAAGAAATCTATTGTATATCCTGATAGAACGCTGAAGTAACTATTGTTTTACAATTGTTGCATTATATTTAAATACGTTTTATAGGGAGGAAAAACCTTGAGTTAACCAGAGTTATTCATAAATGTAAACCAAATTTTTTAAAAGTAAATTCCTCACCAAGTGTGAATTTTAATTCTAACGAGAAGGAAAGTCAGCACAAGGCTTATCCTCTTAACAGGATTTCACTTCCAATTAGATGGAGGTGTGTGGGAAAGACTTTGCTCTCTGAGGATAAAGGAAAGCTTGAGGGTCTTCACCAGAGACGTGTCAGGACACTAGACTAAGACTGAGCAGAGGGCTGGGGCCCTCAGGTGGGACCTCACACTGCCTCCCTGAGTCTGCAAAAATAAAGGCTGGTTGGGGAGCTGTAGGCAGATGAGGCCAGAGGGTACATTACATTACAAAGAAGCTAATCATTTTGGGGAGAAAAGGTAAACTACAGAGTAAATGACTAAAAAAACAAAACTTAAGGCGGAAGGAAATGTTGCTTCCAATTGTATTTTTCTTTATGATACAATGCCAACATAGATACTTAGTATAAAATAACTATTAAGTAGACGTGACTGAACAATTATTCTATATAGAAAGCTCATTAGGTTGGCTGTCTATTAAATTTAAGAAGACTCTCATTATACATTCTTGAAGTTCTTCATGTGGTAGGTTCTCAAAGGCACCAAGGAACATATAATATTTTCTTAAACCTAGGATACTTTGTTTCACATTTTCCTGTTTCTCAAGTCACAATGTAGCTTATAATAGATAGAAATACGCAACGCTGTTATTAACTATCATAACTAGAGGTAGCTAAGAATTAAGAAAATTTGGCGATGCTAAAAAAAAGTGAGAGGCGGGATTTGCTGGAAGTACTGGGGTGATGGTGATAGTAATGTTTTCCATTTTGATAGGGATTTTGGTTACTTAAATAACTCAGCACATGTACACTTAAGATGTACGCATTTTATTACATGTACATTGTCTCAAAAGTTAAAGACGCAAATTCTGGACTTTAGTAACTGTTATACATGCTGACATTATTCAAGGGGAAATGTACTGACATGCATCAAATTAAGGGATTAATAGTTCACCAAAGTGGTATAAAAACTTAAATTGAAACATTTGAGCAATCAGCAGCCACAGAAACATTCCCTGACCTTAAGCAGGGCCTCCTGAAAATACAGCCACCACTGACCTGGTGGGAAAAGTCTGACCCTTAGCATCCACAGTGTACATTCAGCTGTCTGTTAACATCACAAAGCTGAATAGACTCTCCATAATTTCCCTAGAAAGCCCTCATCTTCCTCCTCTCCCCTTTTTGCTGAAGTTCAGTACAGTTTATAAGCCTTTTGTTTCTGGCTACTCAGCAACTTACTCATCGCATGCATGTGTAAAGAAATTGTCCGTTATCAGTTAATTCTCAGACCCTCCAAACTCTGGACCCAAGTTGGAAAAGTTAGTTTTCCACCCAGGACAAATAAAAACAGATTAGTGGATGAATAAAAGAACGAACAGGTTAATATATATCATAAAGCAAGTACAGAACAATATTAATGGTAGAATGTAGGTGGTTGATATATGGGTGTTGACTGCAGCTTTATGTAAAAATATAAGATGTTCAGAAAAGCTGGAAGAGGAAAGGAAAAGAGGGAGGGAAAAACAAAACAGACAGACATGACAGTTGATGACTGCCTAAGAGGTAGCCAGCTGCTAGGGAGACTTACCTCATACCCAAACCTATTAATTGATGACAGATGTCAGTCTAAAATGGAAATAACCATCTAATTACAAGTGCTAGTGCCTGGAATGGTCATTCTGGTGCCGAAAGTAACTTAGTATTCACTGACCTCTCCTAAGGTCAAACAGCAGCCATTCTCTCCCCAAGTGTTTCCTGCTGCCAGACATTCCAGAGTCATCAGAAAAGGTCATCCAAGCTCCCAACCCCTTCTCCCCCGCAATCAAAGATCAAAGAGAGTGGGTGCCCTGCACCTGCCGACTCAGCCCTGCAGATGGGCAGCACAGCTCTGTTCCTCTCAGAAACATGCGGCTCCCTATGCTCGGTTCCTGGAGTTTCGGTGACTAGATGCGGCTGCAGTTTCTTTAACTCACGCTGTACAACAAAGAATCTGGCTGGTCTTTGTCCCTGGTTCCTGGGAGGGAGCTTCTAAGTCCTTGGAATGTCTTTGCTATTCACATGGCCCTGACAGTTTATGCTAACGAGGTGACTCATAGTGGGCACCCCGATCACTCCAGGATGGGAACTGGCCAAGCTGAAAGACCAAAAGGGTGATTAGAGGTTTGGGCTGCTGAACCATGTTATCAGCCAGGTCTCCTGGGAGGGGAGAGGGCTGGAGGGCGAATTAACCCTGTGGCCAGTGATTCCATCCATCACACCGACATATGAAGCCCAATGAAACTCTGGACTCGGACACTTAGGTGAGCTTCTGGTTGGCGACAAGGGTGTGCTAGGTAGGAAATGTCCAGAAGACATGGAGACTGTGTCTCTGGGGGCCTCTGAAGGGTAGTAGCAACCCCCAATTTTGTGCTATTTTGTCAGAAGTCCCCAGGGCTTGGGGAGCCCCTGAGCTGGTGGCTGGTGTCTATAGTGCGGGCACCATGTGGGAAGTCAGGGTCAGAACTGCAATGTAACAGATAATTTTCAAAAGACATCTGCATATATGCACAACCCATGGACACAGACTACAGTGCGGTGAAGGCTGGGGGCAGGGGGTGGGTATGTTGCCCCGTCCCACTCCTCATGTGAATGGCATCCCGTATCTGGCAACGTGATACCCTCAACTCCAATGACCTCCTCCTACTCTCCAGTTACCCACTCCTGCTGCCACACCCAAGGCGCTACCATCTCCCCATGTTGGCCACACTGCCTGCTCTTTCTGCCTGACACCCCAGCATCCCCGAGATTATCTGTTCCACTTCAATAATACCTCTAGTTCATGGATGCATCTACTTCCTCCCTCAACTCTCTCCTCTTTCCCCCTCCCATGGTCCATTGAGACAGTTTCTCTTGCCAATATCCCCAATTCCATGCTCCGTTGTCACCCATTTGCACCCACTTGTAAAAACTGGGATTGTCCCACCTTTGGTGGACGGGATCTGGTTCCATTCCACACACTCATGGTGGCTAAGCAATGGGCCCAACTGTCTCCACCTCGCTGTGTCCACTCCCTTTGGCCATGTTTCCACATGGACCCTGGCCTTGGCTCCGTCTTGCTTGGGAATGGGACAGTGGTACATGTGACAAGCAGAAACCTGGAACCCTGCCACAGGTTGACCGGGGCTAGCCAGCTGCAGACCGAGGGGACACGTGGAGGAGAAACCACGCACCAGCAGGTGACTGCAGACGCCCGAGTGAGCCCCACCTGGGACCTCTCAGCCCCCATCAGCAGACCTGCCCAGCTGAGCCCAACCCCTGGGAAAACAGGTTTAAGCCATCAAATTCCTGGGTGGTTTGTTGGTTAGGAAAAGCTAATTTATATAGCCCCGAGGCTAAGCAATGCTGGAAAGTTTATACAACAAAGCAGACTGGTGTCAGCTCTTTCTACCTCTCTTCTCTCTCCAAATCCACTCTGCCTACCAGATGACAAATGCTCTTCACTTCAAGGAAGAGAAAAACTGACAACTTTTCCAATTCCCAGCCTCCCCATCCCTCCTTACCTACCTCAGCACCTGTCTGCCTCCCTGGAGTGTAGAGGGGTCCTGGTCCCAGCCCAGCCCGGACCGGCCCGGCCCAGACACCCAACCCCGCTCTGGTCTCACCGTCCATCCTCCTCGCTCCCTCAGTCCCCTCCTCCTTCCTGCCCCCACCTCCTTCTCATCGGCATTTCATCTCTCCCACATTAAAAACACCGGCAATAACAACGAACGGTCTCTAGCCGCTCATTACACGCAGACCTTGTTTATTGCGCTTCACTGGTGCTGAGTTTTTTACAAACTGAAGGCAAGACTCTCCACCACCGGGAAACAGGTTCTGACGTGACTGACGGCGGCGGTCTGGAAGCATCTCAGGATCTCTCTCTCTCTCTCTCTCTCTCTCTACCTCCCCCCCCCCCCCCCCCCGCCCTGCTGAGCTGCACCCTCATATCCAATGGCCCAGTGGGCAGCTCCACTTAGATGAAGCATATACACCTCCAAATCAATGTGTCCTCAACCAAATCATCATCTTCCTCTCCAAACCTGTTCTCTCATCTTCCCAGGTCAGGAAACTTCCAGAAACCATCGTAACCCCACCTCTGCTCTCAGCTCCTCTTTCTTAGGGGTATAAATCACCATGTCCCGGCGAGACTGTCTCCTAGTCACCACCATCTCTTGCCTGGAAAACTGAACAGCCAGCCTCCACACTGCTCCTCCTCTTTTAACTCCTCCTCCAACCATTTCCACACGATGGCCAAAGTGGCCTCTTGAATGTGCCAATCTACTAATTTCCTTTTGTGGATACTGTTTATTGAACCTTGACTCTAATACTTAGCACAGAACACAAGGCACATAATAATCAATAATGCCTATTGGAGAGCATGGCTAAATTGCTGAAATGTTTAGTAGGTCAACATTTGGAAATACAACTAAAGATGTAAATTTCACAGATTAACATTACAAAAACGTGCGAAAAACTCAGTTTGACAACCAAACAACTTAATAACAAATTTAAAAAGTTACATAATCTTAGTTTTAAAAATAATTACAAGGGTTACAACAAACTTAAAAATTACCGCTCTACTTTACCCCCTCCATAAAAAAAATTAACTGCTTTACTTTCCAACAGAATAAAAAATGAATCTGAACATTCAACATTTACTTACGTGCAAAGAATTGACTGGTCCTCACGATCTATAAGACAAACAAAAAAAGAGAAAGTGACCATTTGCCTGATTTTTAAAGTATCTGATTAATAAAGTTACAGCAATAGCCTCTAAAGCAGTAACTGTACACCTCTCAGGTCAAGCTTCCCAACCTGTTAAATAGTCCTAAATCCAGTCAAGTTTACTTACTCTTTCAACAGATTCTCTGGGAATGAATACCAACCCAGGCTTGGCAAACCTTATATGCCTATCAACCTTGATTCTCAGCCGCTTCTGCTTATCAAATTCAGCTGGGAAGTTTTATAATAACGTACTTCTTGGAGCGCCACCTTTGCTAAATTATTTTCAGGTGCTGTAGGGATTGAACAATCCCACATTAAGTCCCTAAATCAGTGGTCGGCAAACTCATTAGTCAACAGAGCCAAATATCAACAGTACAAGGATTGAAATTTCTTTTGAGAGCCAAATTTTTAAAACTTAAATAAACTTCTTTTAATGCCATTTCTTCAAAACAGACTTGCCCAGGCCATGGTATTTTGTGGAAGAGCCACACTCAAGGGGCCAAAGAGCCGCATATGGCTCGCGAGCCACAGTTTGCCGACCATGGCCCTAAGTGATTCTGAGGCAAGGCCAAGTTTAGAAAACCAATACCTTTCAGCATGGCTTCAAGAATACCCACAACCATTATTATTGTGACCTTAGAGAAGAAAAGAACCAGCATCAAAAAGGTTGAAGGAGGATATATTTCTATGTGATGTTTAGCCATTGTCTCAAGTCAAATGTTATATATACCAAAAATGTTATATATACCAAAGTCAGAGCAATGAAAAAAGTCTAACATGATTTCGAAGTGACCAATGATTAAAGTATTCAACCCAATTTTCAGATGAAAAGGTGAAATTCAAATCCACATCCAGCCCATGGACAAAACCACCAGTATAGGAGGTGTGATTTCCGATCGCTTATGAATGAGCATCACTGTCGCTAATTTACAGGTGAGCAATGTTCCCCGAGGGGGTCCGGTAATCCTCCCGAGTCACACACGACTGAAGGGCAAAGGTGCTGGGTGAGGACCAGCAAGGTCCTCAGCACCACTAACCCAGCTCACCACTGCTTCGAAACGTCACAGGGCCTGCCGGGGCAGCGATTCTTTAACTACCTTAAGCTGGGCTTGCTTTCCCTCCTCAGGTGCCCAATGAGGATCTCACAGTAGTTCGGGCATAAACAAGTGTCACGAAGGAGAAATAAATAGTTCATTCACTTTGCCTTACTCTTTTCATCTATTGGTAAAATAAACAAATCCATTCATCTATTCTATGTATAAACTGAATTATATCATTGCCTGGCCCAGAAATCTTAACTCCTAATACAGATATACCTCCTCAGAGATTCCAGACCACCACAATAAAGCGAGTATCGTAATTAAGCAAGTTGTAATCTTTTCTGTTGGTGGAAGGTCTTACCTTCAATTTGTGAAAACCTACATCTGTGAAGCGCAGCGAAGTGCAATAAAACAAGGTATGCCTGTAGCTCCTACCCGTTTCCCCTTCCCTCTGGTTGCCATAGGCAGCATTCACAGTACACAGCTGATGCCTGCCTCCTCTGTCCGCTCACTTTCCCAGAGGTCATGCCGTATCCTTTCTTCAACATGCTCCGCCGAGATCCACAACTACCTGGCCGTCTCCATGTGTCCTTTCCTGCTCAGATCCGCTGTATCTCCTCTGGGAACCACCCAGACACTCCCTCAGACTCCTCTCCATTTTCTTCTTTGAGTTATATTTTCAAGTTAGACAAACAATACTGCTAACTGCTTGCCCAGTAGAATGTGGTGCCTGAGGTCAGAAACTGTCTTATTTCTTCATTCCCAGAATTAACGGTAAGGTCTGCTGAGAGAAATTCAGTGCTGGGTACCATGCTGGGCACTGGCAAAATAGCGGGATTTGGAATTTTTTGTTCACTCTAGCTCTGCTGCAAATGGACTAATCTAGCTATAGATGAGGCATTGATTCCTTGCTGGTTTCAACTTCTTTACCTATAAAACTAGGTTTTAACAAGTCTTTGCTTATCCTATATAATTAAAGGGTAATATGCAAACTGTTCCCTCGACTGGAAGTTCAACCAGGGGATGGGGTTGGCCAACGACCCGAGGACCCCCCCCCCCCCAACCAACCCCCCCCCCCCAGATCTCCAAATAGGGTGGGCAGGCCAGACCCCATCCATGCACAAATTCGTGCACTAGGCCTCTAGTTCATCAATATTAACCATCATACCCTGAGATTCTTCTGTTCTGAGCAATTTCTATAGAACTCCACTACACCAAGTGTTTTTTATGGCTTTTGCGAACTGGTTTACAGATGTAAAGAAACTGAAACACAAAAACTAACCGAAATTAAATTGCATTCCATCCTTAATCCATTCAGAATGGTTTTTCCCCCACATCTGTACATGCTATTATCATTGTCTGAAATCTGAGACCTAGACAACCTGATATATCCTTCAAATCTGTGCAATACTTCATTTCCCATGCTTCTACCCCCCAGCCAAAAACAAAACAAAACAACTGTCTTCTAAGTGAGACTTGTTTGTTCTCGTTACTCATCTGTCTGACTTTGGGCTCACTAGCAGTATAGTAAGTACAGTCTGAGCCAAACTGTTGACATATAACCTCCAAGTTTCTCTACATCTAGGACTGTCTCATCCCTATTCCTCTAGTCTGTTTCACTCAGTCTTCCACATCCTTCAAGGACCAACTTCAGCAGCACTATGGCAGTTTATACACTGATCTTGAAAAACCTATAAATGTGATGAGACACAGCCTTATATTGGTATTTTTTAAGAAATATTTTTTTATTGATTTCAGAAAAGAGGAGAGAGAGAGAGAAACATCAATGATGAGAGAGAATCATTGATCGGCTACCTCCTACACTCCCCACATTGGGGACTGAGCCCTCAACCCAGGCATGTGCCCTGACCAGGAATTGAACTATGACCTCCTGGTTCATAGGTTGACACTAAATACTGAGCCAAACTGGCTGGACTAAATATTGATATTTAAAGGAAACAATTTAATTTTAAAAATGCAAATAGCCTTCTGAAGACTAGGGATTCTTCTGATAATTCATATTTTCCAAAGAACCGCCCCAAAATTACATACTATTTATGGAGATACTCAATAAATCCATACAAATTAAATCTATTTTCAACAGTAAAAATAGTTTCAAATCAATGTCTTCAGCTCCTACCTTAAAAAAACTAGACAAGACCAAATCCAACCCAAAGTAAGTAGAAGGAAAAAAAATGATAAAGAAATAAATGAAATAGGAAACAGAAGGGAACCACCCCAAACAGTGAAACCAAATGCTGGTTCTTTGAGGAAAGTCAATAAAATTGTAAACTTCAAGACAAACTGACCAGGACAAAGACACAAATTACCAATATCTGGAATATGAAAGCAACATTGCTATAGACTCAGATACTAGGGGATAATAAGGAAATGTTAGGAATTATTTTATGTAAATAATTTTTTTTGAATTTTTGTGAGTTTATTTGAGCCAAACTGTTGACATATGCCGGGAAGCAGAACCTCAATGGGTTGAGATAATGCTCCTAAGAATGGCGGGTTACATTTCTATTTATCACTGAAATCAAAGGAGGGACATAGGTGGGTTACACAAAATTCATTGGTGATGGATTAAGGAGGTGGAAGAAAACAAAGCGGTGGAAACCCCTGGGATTGGATAAAAAGTAAATGATGGACACATATGTAGGTGAGTGTAGGAACAATTAACATGATAAAGAAGGAATTTGAGGCACCTGTCCTGGGGCCCACCACATTTGGTTGTGCCCTAGGGGTTATGTAAATAATTTTGATAGCTAAGATTAAAGGGACAATTTCTTGAATGACATAAACTATTCAAGCTCACTCAAGAAGGAATGATAACCTGAACAGTCCTATATCTATTAAAGAAATTGAGCCCTGGCTGGTGTGGCTCAATTGGTTGAATGTCATCGGTGTACCAAAAGGTCACCAATTGATTCCCAGTCAGGGCACATGCCCGGGTTTCGGACTCAGTCCTTGGCAGGGGGTATGAGGAGGCAGCTGATCTCTTTCTTTCTCTCCCTCTTAAAAAAAAAGAAATTGAATTGGTAAAACTAGTATGATTTTATATGTCAGTTATCCTGCAATAAAAGAATAAATTCATTGTGTAATTAAAAAACCCCCAGCCCAGCTGGCATGGCTCAGTGGGCTGGCACATCATCCCGTGCACCAGAAGGTCACAGGTCTGATTTCCGGTCAAGGTCACATACCTGGATTGCAGGAGTCAAACCTTCTACTCTCTCTGAAATCAATGGGAAGAAAATAACCTCAGGTGATGATTAAAAGATAAACAACAACAAAAAAACCTTCCCAACAAACATAGCTTCACTGGTGCATTCTACAAAACATTTAAGGAAATAATACCAATTTATATGAACTCTTCAGAAAAACTGAAGAGGAAAAAAAACACTTCTCAACCCCTTCTAAAAGACAAGCCTTACCCTGATATTAAAATCAGAAAAGGACATTATAATAAAAGAAAATGACATACAAATATCTGTTATAAACAAGGACACAAAAATTCTTAACAGAATGTTGGCAGATGAAATCCAACAACATATAAAAAGGATAATGTACATGAGCTAGTGGTGTTTATCCTGGAAATGCAAGGTTAGCTCAACATCCAAAAGGCAAACAATCTAATTCACTGTATCAACAGACTAAAAGGAAAACCATGTAATCATCTGAATAGATGTTGAAAAAGCATTTGATAAAATTCAATATCCATTCATGATTTAAAGAAACTAACAAAAAAACCTCAGCAAACTAGGAACACAGGGAATTTCATCAACCTGATAAAGGGCACATACAAAAAAACCTTTTGTTGATATCATCTTCAAAGGTGAAAAACTGAACGCTGTCCCCCTAAGAGCAGGAGCAGGCAAGGATGTCTGTTCTCACAATACCTTTCCAGCATCACAGGGCAAGAAAAATAATTAAAAGACTGGGACTGAAAAGGAGGAAATAACAACGTCTCTGTTTGCAGAGGCCATGACTGTCTATGCAGGAAATCCAAACAATCTACAAAAGACCTCAGAATAAGTGAGTTTTGCAAGGTTGCAAAATACAAAGTCAATATAATGTATATTTTAAAAGAATATTACTATACATTAACAGTGAGCAATTAGAGACGTAAAAATTTTAAGTTCCACTTAATACTAAAAATATGAAATGCCTAGTTATTATTAGAGTATATATCATGTCTAGGTATAAATTTAACAAAAACAAAATTTCTAATTTTTGTAATAAAATTTATGTTTAAGAACATTACTTTTATTCAATAAATACTTATGGAGCATCTAATTGAAATAAGAAAAAAAAATAAGCTCTCTTCTATTTCGCATTGAACAAACTATTCAGTGGGACCACATGCTCTGAATCCTCTGCATGGTACCCTCTTTTCTAGCAACAGATCCTTCAGAGGCCCTGTTATATTTACTCACTAGCTCGCATTTGTAATTGAAAACCTGGATTGATCAGCATTGGAAGGTAGCATGAGCTTCAGGAGCCACCGCATATGCAATGAACTACCCTATCCGATGTCCCAACCCAATGGTGCTGTGTAGATAGTACATTAGTAGGTAGCCCCCTGCTTACAGCATGGAATACAACATAACTGTTTAGCATTTGTTTCATTTTCCTGTATCAATTTATAAATTTATAAATTTATAAATTATTATCCTTTTTACTTTTCAGGGTTGTTGTTGTGGATTAACAAATACACATAAAAGCAATTAGCTCAGTTCCTGGAACATAGTAATATTCAATAAATGCTCATTGAGCATTAATGATGGTATTAATACTATGATGTGCTGATAAGCCACATTTTTTTTTTTTAGACAACAGCTTTATTTTTTTTTTTTATTAAATATATTTTATTGATTTTGTACAGAGAGGAAGGGAGAAAAATAGTTAGAAACATCGATGAGAGAGAGTCATCGATCAGTTGCCTCTTGCACACCCCCTACTGGGGATATGCCCGCAACCAAGGTACATGCCCTTGACCGGAATCGAACCTGGGTCCCTTCAGTCCCCAAGCCGACGCTCTATCCATTGAGCTAAACCGGTTTCGGCTAGACAACAGCTTTATTGACAGATGAGGATAGTCGAGTCCCCACTCTCAGGGTCCTGGTGGCATCAACCTCAGGCCTCCTGTAACCAGAGAGCCACATCTTGCTCCTGCATTGGGACATTGACATTTATCCTTGTTAACTATTTTGTTAGATCTAATGCCCCATTCAACCTGTCAAAATATTTTAAAAATTCTGTTTCTTTTCATCAGATATATTTATTTTCCCTCCCAGTTTTGTGTCATCTACGAGTTTTATGGGCATGCATCCCACATCTTTAAGCATACTGACAAAGATGTTGGGAAGGGCACAAACCCACTGTGCACACACTGATAATGCTGGCCAACCTCAATCATTAAAAGCACTTCAAGTGCAACTTTTCAGCTTACAGCCACAAGAATATCATGGCAGAGTACGGAATGCATGTAGAGTCCCTCTGTTTACACTGTCTACTGTACTTCCCTTCTTACTGAGCTAAAGGGAGTATTTTCATGTTGCTTTTGGACTGTTAACAATAGAGTCCAGAATCTTTCCTGGCAGGTGCATTAAGCTCAGCAGTCTAGTGTCCCCTCACCCTCATTTTTTTTTTGGTCAATCTTCCATTGATTTTTAGAGAGTGAAAGGGAGTGAAAATGAGGAGCAAGAAAGAGAGAGAACAAAGATGTGAGAGATACACATCAATTGGTTGCCTTCCACAAGTGCCCTGATTCTGATTGGGGCCAGGATCAAACCTGCAACCCAGGTACATGGCCCTTGACTGGGAATCGAACCTGGGACCCTCTGGTGTGTAGACTGATGCTCTAACCACTTAGAAACACCGGCCAGGATGCTTCTTCCTTTTAAAAAATTAGAATTATATATGTGAGCCCATCCGGCCTTCTGGAAACTCCCCCTCTATATAGTTCAAAGACTAGAGTTACAATCTCAATTGTAAGAATGTATTGGTCTTTTTGTTTTTTTAATTCTCACCCGAGGATATTTTCCCACTGATTTTTAGGGAGAGTGGAAGAGAGAGAAAAAGACAAAGAGAAAACAAATCAATGTGAGAGACACACATCAATTGATTGCCTCCCTGCATGAGCCTTGACCAGGGCCCGGGCTGAGGAGGAGGCTGCAACCAAGGTACATGCCCTTAACGGGAATCAAACCTGGGTCCGTTTGGTCCGCAGGCCAAAGCTCTACCCACTGAGCCAAACCAACTAGGGCAGTACGTATTAGTTTAAATGAGGAACTATGGTTTCAATTAGGGAAGAAGTGTACCTTCTCAAATTTCTTCTCCCATATAAGGCAAAGTTTGCTCATTCATACATTACATGCCTTTCTGAAAATACTAAAAGATTATTCTTAACAGAGACACAAACCAAAAACAAAGAAGCTGACAATTCTTCTTTCTCCATTATCTGGTAGTAATCTATCACTGCCATAGCTGTTATTATTCTTTGGCTCAGAAAGAATTATATTAAATATAATCTTTTTTTAAGCCTAAACTGATTTTGGATATTGAACCTGTCCTTACCAATCTGACACTGTTCTAGTCTTGAAGTACTTCCTATTTGCCTCAGAGGACCTGGTACGTAAAAGTATCCAAACAAAACTTGAAGGAGGAAATGGTTGATTTTTATTGTTTTCTTTTGTATTTAGAATGAAATATAAATGTGAAGTCATTCATTTAAATCATGGCTTTAGACACATGGTTTATGAAAGGACATGTAATTAATAATGTAATTTATTAATTCCCTCACACTCTCCCCTTCAGACCCAGACACCAATACAGCCTTTCCACAACCTACAAACTTTGTTGATAAGTGGATATAGCATATCCTGTTTTCTGATCATGGAACTACTTTATAAGAACCATACATATTTTAATATATCTTATCAAATTTATTTAAAAAAATAAAAGTAGATAGAGGGGGAGTTACAGACTTCACATAGCACTAGCAAGTCCCATGTATAATGTAGTCTTTTTGAGCAATGCTAAGTGCATTAAAAACTGTTACATTTTGGTTTTTTTAAAACATGTCCTTTCATAAACCATGTGTCTAAAGCCATGATTCAAATGAATGACTTCACATTTATATTTCATTCTAAATCCAAAAGAAAACAATAAAAATCAACCAACTCAACACATTTTTAACTTTTGCTGTCTTTTACATATATTTAAATAAGAAATATTTTATAATTTTTCTTTCCCCAATGAAACGTTCACCTTTTCTGTTTATTATTCTTGCTGCTGGCTCTTCCTGTTGGTTTTAAAATCTAATGTAACAGAGCTTTGCTTATACTGGCTTGTGGTGTGGCTCAGACATATATACAAACTAGGAGCTTTTGAACATGGAGTATTTATGAAGCAACAAACATACCAGCTTCCTATAAATATCGCTGTTTTGCCCATTCTAATTTTAAGAATTCATAATTCTTTTTACAATAAACATTTATTTAATTTCTAACCTTTTAAAATTTTTAATATTTTTTGATAAATGTTGCATCTAATAAGATAGCTAATTACGTTTAAGAAATTCTAAGCATTTCGTATGGAAACATTGCCAGTTACCTTGAAGCATGCACCTGTAAGCAGACTCAGATATAGCATAGATGTGTGGAGGCATCTCGTGACGTTTCTTCCCTCTGTACATTTCAATGATATTCTCAGAGTAGATTGGAAGGTTCTTGTAAGGATTTATGACTACACAGAAGAGTCCAGAATAAGTCTAGAATAAAAATAAAATACAGTGTTTAAAATAAGGCATATGTCAGACAAATAAAAATCGCACAGTCATCTGAACAGGGAGACTTTATCCTTTGGATAATTAATCTAGTCCCAAAATTAAATCTAGCGCACAAAGAGGCAATTCTAAACGATAAGTAGTTCTGTCACACAGAGATTTTTAAGTGGCTCTCTCCTGGATCAATCACTTCATCTGTAAAATAGAAATAATAATATACGCCACATGTTTAAACAATGTTGTCTTTTCACACATTCTTTCCCAAGAGTACTAGGTATGGAAAATTCATTAATGTAGTTTCAGATTCCACACTGCAACTAATGTTTAAGAAGGCACCAATGAAGTTTGGGTATACGATCAAAGTAAAATACCCATGGTTATATGACAAGGAAATTATTAAAAAGATTTACAAATATATAAACTTTTCACTCTTTTAATTTTTCTCTTTTGGAAAATATATTTTTTTCCATAAAAATAATCTACATTAACTTGTTATTTATTTAAGTAAATGGTTTATTATTTTTAAATGAATTGATAAATATTTTAAAACTTTGCTTTAATTTCTAATACAGTAAATATCAATAAATATAACCCACATAACAAAAGCTCTTGGGGGGCCCTCAATGTTTAAAGCCACTCGTCTAGAAGACTCGGGCCTTGCCTGACCTGTAATCAGTAAACAGAACTGATACTAACCCTTCTGACTTTGAGGTTTTTTAAGTTCACATGGAATGAGTTCTGAGAATAATCTACAAAATTGATCCTGGGAATTAGAGAAAAGCAAGAGCAGTTGGGATTGCTGCCAGATGCCCAGTCCTCTGAGGGACTGAGGATGTGGAAAGGACACTCAGTCACACTATGAAGCAGACCGTGTACTTAAGGTGACCGGGGGAGACCAAACCCAAAGGCGAGAAGACAGGACAGGCGGCTGAGAACTGACGTGCACAGCTCCCTCGGGAGCCGAGGGGAGAGTCTAACCCGCAGCTGTGTTGGGAAGGGCTGAAACCCTTGGCAGTTGCCACCAGAAGGCACTCTAGAGACTACTCTGTTTTGAATACTGCAGTTACTAACGCTAAAACAAGAGAAGGAAATCCTGCCAAAAAAGGTTGTGATCAGAACTATCTCTGTAGCTGTTATCTCTCAGAATCTCACAAGTGTAGGCTGAAACGCGCAATGGCCTTCCTCACCTGGCCATTCAGGGGGACAGGAGAGGACAAAAGGCAGAAAGACCCGGCCCTCAGGTCACTGAGCTGGGCTGTCTGCCTTCCAGCCTGAGCCAGAGCACTTGCCCGGCCTTGCTGATCATTAGGTCTCCAGACTGCTGGCTCTCAGAGCAGAGCACACAGCTCACACACAACCCCGGCCAACTCTTGGGCTTCTCACACCAGCACCTTAGCTCTTTCTCCCAAACCAAGTCTCTCATCTAACTAGCCCAGGGCGCATACAAGAAGCAGCCACCGAATGCATAAAGTAGAACAACGAATTGGTTTCTCTCTCTCTCCCTTCCTTTCCCTAACAGCAAATAAAGGTGTGTTTAAAAAATGTTTTTAAAGACAAACACAAGATATTAAGCACCTTCATAATGCATACACTCTAGACATGATGACAATAGTATTCATTAAATAAACAAGACAATATATTAGAGAAATTATAAATAGTAGAGAAACTCTACTGGAGCAGAACACACTAGCCCCAGGCGCTGAAAGTCAGGGCCATCCTGTCTGAAACTGTAAAACTAGGAACACAAATTCAAACCTAGACGGTCTTCGATGTTCTTTTTAAACACTATTAGGTCAAGAGGGAGCATAAAGGAGTCCCTATTAAAATATTAAGAGCATAAAACTAGGTGGGGGGATATACCCAAGGCAGAGGGCGAAGCCCAGTCTAGCTGCAAATTGTTTGTACCCTGAAATGAGGCATGAGCCAGAAGGTCAAACTGAACAATTTGGATGTTGTCCTCTATAGATGATTAGGTATCAGAGGCTCAGCAGAGACGGATGATGGAAAGAAAGAAGCATTTTTGAAAATATATAAACCTAGCAGCCATGTGGGAAATAAGAGTGAAGGGGCAAGAGGTGAGAAGCCGGAAATGGAGCTGCTGATAACAGCCTGGCCCAGGCACAGCCAGATGAGAGAAAGGCAGTACAAATCGGAGGGGGGATGAGTCACGGGGAAAGCTGGATGGAGAGGCGCCGTCCTCAGTAACTCGTCCTCAGTAACTCGGGAGTGAGGAAACCACTAAGATACAAACAAGTTAAGGACTCCAAGCTTGAGAACTGGAAAGGTTACTGTTGGACAAGAACAATGATTTGATTTGTGAGAAAAATAATGAATCCCCTTTTAACATTTTGAGATTGCAGTTTGTTAAAAGGGGATTCATCACAATAATAGATTGCCTAGGGAGCAGTTGGAAAGAAATACTGAATTGCTAAAAGCCATGAGAAAAACCTGAAGAACTGCAACGGTAAGTTTGTGTGGCCTTTAAGACCCCGAGTAACATTATATACATAAGAGAAATACAAAAATATTTGCACAAAATAGTTAGCAATTTTCAAACAGGCTATGCCGCTCTATGTCTCCAGCCTCCATATACGCTGATCACTCTGCCAGCAATGTGCACCTCTTGTCTAGCGCTGAGAAATTCCATTCATCCTTTCAGTGTCAGGCCTCTGTTAACGAAAGCAGGGATAGTGTACACATGATTTCATAGGTTCCGAGTATTAGAGAGTCAGGAAACGAGGCAGGGGCAATGTCAGCGAAAGGGCGAGGAATCAGGAATGGGGGGCTGACCTGGGAGCACTGTGCAACCTACACCCAGCTGCAGCTCTCAGAAGACACCATCCAAAGAAAAGAAAGGAAGAACAATGCTCTCACACCATCTGCAAACATCCGCACCTAGATAACATTCCATGTGTTTAAGAAAAAACAAACAATTCATGTGTGTTTACAGGACAACAAACAACCCTATGTAATAAGGAGATCATTATCTAGGATCTGGAGAAAGAAATTACCTGTAGAAATTATCTACAAAATCAGCTAAAAGGAAACTTTAGAAAACTGTGTTATAGCTGCAACCAAATTTAATAATAATATGGATTCTACATATCGGAAGAGAAATGCATAAGGAAAAAAGAGGTGACTAAAGCAAGAAAGAACTATAAGGAATAATCTGAAATTTTAAAAAGTTAAAATCCACAGTGGGGAAAAAGGGTCGAATGGATATCAGGAAATCAAGTGATAGAATGGATACATTCTCAGAAGGCGTCTTTCTTTCCATTAATCTTTATTTATTTATTTATTTATTATTATTAATTCTTTATTGTTGAAAGTATTACATGTTTCCTTTTTTGCCTGTTGACCTTTTCCCACCTGCTCCCGCTCCCCAGCACAGGCCCTCACCCCCAATGTGTCCACTGGTTATGCTTATATACATGAACACAAGTCCTTTGATTGATCTCTGATCCCTCCCTTACCCTCCCTGCCTTCCCTCAGAGGGTGTCTTTCTTAAAGAAAAATAGAATAAGTGTAAAATAATAAAAAGAGGCAGGTAGATAAAACCAATAAAAAATATTTAGAACACAGATGAATATGGAGAGAAGAGAAATGATAAATAAATATTAATTATTATAGTTCCTTTGGAGGGAAACAGGCTAAAACTGTAAAAAGAATTTTAAAAAATAAACTAGAAAACTTAGTGTGTGTGTGGTAGGGAGGGCGTGCTAGCATACATAGAGTTAAAAGAATCCATTGAGGCAATAAACACACAGCGGCAATAAGACTGACACCATTTTGCAGCCCCTAAAAACATAACAGATCTGGACAGCGCTCACCACTGGCTACGAAAAGCCTTAGGTGAACGGCAGACAAGGACACTCCCAATACACAAACAGGGCTGCCAAAATCCAAACTGACCACTGCTAACTCACTGGTTAATCTCAGCATCATCAAGTGAAAGACACCCTGGCATTGCTGCCTCCTGAACCCGTTCAGGCCTCTGGGACCAATCAGTACTTTATAGGAAGCGCCACAAGAATGGATTAATGAAATCCAAAACTCGGGAAATTATCCAGCACAATTGACCTTGTCCTTCAAATTTAAAAGAAAATTAAAGAGGGGGAACATAGATTAGAAGACACATACCACCAATTATGATATACATTGACCTTGTTTGGATCCTGAATTGAATAGACCAACTATATAACATTTAAGAAACATAAGGAAAATCTGAAAAATGACTGAATATTTGATGATTCATAAGTATTGTTCTTTCTTTTCTAGGCAGCTTATAGTCACCAATCCCCAAAACTAATGCTGAGAAGCAAGAAGCTGAGCAGAGCGTTCAGCAGAAAGCAAGGCCGGGAGAAGGAAGCGCAGAGTTTGGGTAGCCCAGGAGGAGGGTGAACACGCTGGGCTTTCAGCAGTTTCCAGAAACAGACCCGCCCGCAGCCTCGTTGGGAAGGATGGCAATCACTGAGGGTCTTCAGTGCTAGTCCCATGGCCTGTCCAGAGAGTTCTAGAATGAGCTTTTTGTCATCCAGAGCCTCAAATTACCCTCACAATTTCTGATATACAATAACTAAAATACAAGACAAAATCTGGATCTCCTGTGAGCCTAATTTTATTGCCGTGTATTATTAACTTGGATAATAATATTTTCAAATAATAAGACATGATTGAGAATTCTGACAGAGAATTGGAAACTATTAAAAGAAAACTCAAATGAAAATTCTAAAATTGGAAAACAGAATAACTGGAATAATTCAATAGATGTGTTAACAGCAAATGAGGTACAGCTGAAGAAAGAGTTGACATTTTAATTAGAAGCAAATATCCAGACTGAAGCCAGGGGAAAAACAGGAATACAGAAGAATGGGACAGATATATGGGACATGATGAAAAGGTCTGAAAGATGAGGTATCTGATTCCAAGAAGAAAAGAGAGAATGTAGCAGAAGCATATCTGAAGAGATAAAGGCTAAGAATTTT